TTTTAAAAAAAAAAATCCAATTTCAGCGTACATGTCTTTCCTTTGTTTCAGATGTCTCCTAGAGATGGTGCGTTATGGCTTTTTGTTTTTCTGGTGAGTAGAAGCTGAGTGAAGGTCTATAGATCCTACTCTTTTATGTATTTGTCTGTTTTACCATAATTGTTGCCTGCTAAATGCGTCAATCCAATTATTAATTAGAAATTTTTGAACTTATATTTTTATTAAGTGAGTGATGTTTGTATTGTCTGTTCCAGAGCTGCAGTGCATGCGTTTGGCCTCGGCTGAGTGATCACAAGAAGCCAAACTCAGTGGCTGGTAGGTGACCGAGTGTAAAAATTTACACACGCTACACAATGACCTCTTTGCGTCATAAAATTTGACCTCAGTGTTAAGCGGTCAGATTCATGTTCTGGCTGTTTTATTCCTGATAAAATAACTCTGAGCAGTATTTAATATTCTTATATTTAGATGTGTTTTACTGAGAAAGTTCACACGTTTCGTGTTGTAGGTGTGAATGTGACGTGCACGGCCGACGCGCTAACTGTGAGAGTTCTGATGGAAAAGCCATTTCAGGGCCTACTTTATGCACGGGGTTTCCCTCTGGAGTGCAGGGGGCAAGGGATGGGTGAAAATGATGTCACACTACACCTCCCTGCTTCAAGGTGTGGCGTGCGGGTCCTGCCAAGCGAGGTCAGTTCACGTCAAATCTGTTTTTGTCTGTTCTGTTAAAGCGAGTTAATTATGTAAGATTTGAGGTTTTCACAGCGGTGATGAGTATGAAGATTTCTGTCTTCTGGGTTGTTGCGCCGTGTAGTCTGGTCGATGTTTACCAACGTTTCAGAGGTCATACTGCCTCCGTCATCAGGGAGACAACCCAGAAGACAGAAATCGAGTTAATTATGTTTATATATTAATTATTTCTTATTCTACTTAATAAATAAGTATTTTGCTTGAACTGTATATCTTCATTTTTAATTTTATCTAATCTAGTAGAGTCTTAAGTTTTGATTGTAATTATTTCATACATTAATATTTATGAATAACAAATGAAGTTTAATTGACTATAAACCCAGCAGTCAATCAGGACGTACAATGAGATTAGTTTACGCATTTTAAAAAAGGCTAGTGAGATAGAGTCAGTTGTTTCAATAGTTGGTCACCCTGTAGCAGGATGCAGTAAGTCTCGCGTACACCGCGGTGGTGGAGATACAGATGGATCGACATCTGCAGCAAGCGGCCGATCAACAACGTACTGTCACATGCCAGCTGCCTGCCGACAGCCTACTGTTAATGTCGCCAGCACTGACACTTACCCAGGTAGCAGTTCGGCCATCGGCCAGGTTAGTACCGCTAACATGAACACCCATTAAAACTGGCGTGAAGGTTTCACATTTCTGTAAACATTGAAAAAAAAACATTCTAATATTATATAATAGTAATTTGAACCACAACTTGGTCACAGGACGGCACGCAAGAAAGCGGACGTTTCCAGCACAGACTTCCACCAGATAAATGCGGCATCAGCTACACCCATGGACCAGTCACGTGTATGGATGGAGATTAAGGGGCAAAGAAACTCTGGACAGGTGTCAGTGGGAGAGGAGATAACTCTCCTGATCAAGGCCCTTCTACCAGGTGAAGAAAATGTTGTAACGGTGACGTCTATCCCAACTCGGTGCTCTTAAATATTCTTGTCAATTAATGCAATAAACTTTTGAAGTTCCTGCAGTGTAATTAAATACATACTTGTAATGTTTATCCACATTTAATCCATACATTTTTTTTTTTCCTTCAAATATCTACTGCAGTGCTAAGTAACGTCTGTAGTTATGGCGCTATCGTTAAGTAACTTACAAACCAGTTGTCGCAAACGCGTTAAGGATGAAAAATATGCACTGCTTTCCAATAAGAATTATTTGCTTTTCCAGGGAAGTTCTTCTTTTAATCTGTTCACGTATTAATGGATTTCCAGAAATGGCAGCAGAAATGTAATTTTTTTTTTATTAATAACGTCCGGTAATGTTCTCATACCAAATTTCATGAAAGTTGGTCAGTTACTTATACAGACATAAAAGGCGATATGATGATAACACATTATACGTGTAAGAATGCGACAATTATTTTACAAATGCCCATGAATATATTTTATCTGACACATCAATACAAATTAAATGTTATATTTCAGCTGAATTTGGTACTCGGGTGACGGACTGCGTGGCACACGATGGGGCAGGTGAAACATCACAGCGCCTGTTGGATGAATGGGGCTGTCCGATCGACGAACTGATCCTGCCAGCCCTGCGACCCTTTCTACAGGATCACGGTAGCTCAAAACTCAGACTCCTGGTCGCAGGTGCCACCTTCGCGGCCTTCAAATTCCCTGATCGGAACAGTCTCCACTTGAGGTGCATATTGCAGCTCTGCAGGGGTAACTGCACCAAGGTGAACAAAAAAAAGAGTAACCAGAATTTCAGAATTTTTCACAGCCTTTTTTGAATCAAGGTCTCGCAAAGGAACGTTGGGTTTTCTGAGGTATGGTGCCTTATCTGTGTCACCATTAAGCACTGCAAAAGGGAGAGACGAAACGCGGTCGTAGTAACATGTAACAGAAATTATTTAGTTGCTATCGTGTGCCCAAAATATCACTATCAAAAAGCACCCGATATTATATCGCCTCAGTATATTAAACCGATGTTTTAAGCGAGAAAAATAAACCTCCCTTAATGGGGCGAGAGAGGAAGAGGAGATCTGTATTTTACTGACGTGATAAACTGGATCAGAAGTTTGTTAATTTTGTTATAGGTGGACTGCAGTTCAGACGGTAGCGGCCTTACAAGACACAGCCGTAAAGCGAAGGTGAGCACCGCGAGGTGTCATTTCTGAATCTTGTTCGTCGGCATAGCGTTACCTTACATTACCAGACCTGCCCCTTTCCCACATGACTTAGGACTTATTAAAAGAAATATTTAATTTGTGGTGCTTACAAAATAAAAATTCATACCAGTTGTCCCTGAAATCTGTCATGAATGCGGATTTGTCTGGCTTGTGATCAGTTGTCTTGATGTCGCTTCATTGCATTTCTGCTTCAGGACGAGGCAGGCGACGTTGTCAGCCGGATCGAAGTGTTCAACAGCGTGGAGGTTCTGGCGCCAGGTATCGAATTAGATGACCTGGACAATTTGGTCAACTTGGGTGAGTAGAATTCCTTATACAAATTATTCGGGTAAGAGCTTATAATTAAAATATATCGTTTTGCAAATATAACGTCGTCGTATTTTTATCAGCCTTTATCGTAGGGTAACAGGATTTGAATCCCCATACCATGGGACTGCCTGTCAATTTGGAACGCCAGCGTGCTAGGGTGATACAAGGGTGGGTGGACTGCGTATATGCGATGGCACACGGACAGTAGGGGTTAATCTCGGCACCATACACATAACTTTGTTTCATGATGTGTGTCGCACTTTATGTCGGCACATTTCAACCGCCATGTGGCCGTCCTCCCTCGATCAAAGCCTCAGACAGACGGACCGAACGGAAGAGGAGAATTGAGGAGGCCGTGGACCGAATACGGACCAGAGAGCCATAGAAGAAGAAGAAGAAGAAGAAGATGTGGTCATCCTCAAATTGGTATTCATACGAGCAGTGTTACTACTGTTGGTAATTCTGATGACTTACATGAAGTGAAAACATTGTAGGAAGACGTGATTTTATTTATAGGTGATGTCAAACTACATGTACCAGTTACTTTTATGCACTTTGTTCCAAATGCCTAAATCTGAGTAACGCTATTTTTATATCAGCAAATTTCCTCTTTAACTCCTATCCAAATGTTTATATTTCAATTCGTATTATTTTCTGTTTGATTTTATTAGTTTCACCAATGTAACATTACTCTTTTTATCAGCGTTCGTGCGGATTTATGTCAGATGTTTTAGTTATGACGTGCATTATCATATCGCATGTGCAGATTGACAGACGGACAGTCAGATTCACATGAAAAATAACATTTCCTAAAAACCATTAATAAATGACTGAAGACAAGTAATGCGTACGTAACGCAATAAAATACGAGGGGACGGACATAGCTCGTCGTTGCATTCATCACTCTTGCAAGGTGTGAGCAGTGCAATGATGCGTGGTCTCTTAGTTCAAGCGTGTAACGTTCTTTGTCTCTACCTGGCAGACCTTGACAAGGATGCCATGCTCCAGATGAGATCAGTGGGCCTGACCTAACTCATTAGTTCCTCACTTTATATTGTTTTTGCAGATCGGATTGTCACAATAGTAATATGACTGATCCATATTTGGAACGACACGTTTCACAATCTGGCCAGATGTTGACTGTTGTGACAGATTTAATTTGTTTTCACGGCCGCTTCAGGTTATGCCTCGCCGTGGCAGAAAAGCTTCTCCGAAGTATTTTACATATTTCCTTTCCTGGTGTATGACTGTGCAAACCTTTGCGATTACTCGCTATTCTGCACAGCATAAGATAGACAACATTGAAGATGGAAGCAGCAAGGACCTCTGCAAAGTTCGTAAACTTCCATCTGCTACATGGCGCTACAACCCAGAAGACAGCCATCTTCGTATTTACCGCTGTGAGAACCTCAAACCCTACTTGTTTCAGAAGTAATTGTTAAATCAGAAAATAGCAGAGGCATTAATAAAAGTTTTGGAACAAGTTACGTCTCTAAAGACATTGTCTATGACCGCTGCTGAATGAAACAACCCTCTGTTTCAGATGATCCCTCAGAACCCTCTCTGGTACTACCGCAGAGTGACCGGGCGTTCTGCTTGTCCCCACCCAAGATGGCCCTCGCATTTGGGGTATTGGGGTTGGTATTCCTGTGCGCCGTGGCCGTGGCGCTGTACACACTGCTGAGGGGACATCGCAACCACTATCATAGCAAGACGCTTCTTGGGGAGGAGACTCTTATTGTTCAAGACAGCCCCTTCATGGGGCACCGTATCCAGTGGCCCCATATCCGCATAATGCACTGACAAAATATAGGTCCTCCGAATATACCGGCCTTACGTTTCCGTCATACTCTTTGGGGGACAGTGGAAATAGTGGCCTCGTACCCTCATCACGCACTGATAAAGTGTAAGAGCTCGAAATTCAGCAGGTTCGCTTCTGCGCCATGCACTTACGGGTTGTATTTTGTGTGTGCAGAACCAGTCCCGATGAAGCCGCTCTTTATTGGAATTTGAATCTCGTTTAATTTATCATCAGGATAAATGTTTGATTTATGATTATGGATTAGGTCACTGTCACCTGCTACTTGGTCCATTTCCATCAGGAACAATGATCTCGTTCCATCCATCTTGTTCTTGGTGAATTAAAATCTCGTCTTCCTTGACGTCAATACTGTAGAACGTCTTTTGCTGTGTTACTGTCTCACGGCAGTTCTCTCTGTTTTTTGTTTCTTCTCAAAACTCCTTTCTCTTGTTTTGTTTTACGCAACTTTGATTTGTATTTGATTTATAATACCGCCGGAGTGGGATTTTGCTGCAAGAAACATAAGCAATTCGGTCAGGGTTCAGTGGACTCGCAATAATAATTTATCTGTTGCCCACAATTACAATTAAAAATTATAAAAAGTAAAATTGTCTGCAGCGACCCTCAGAGACCTTGTGGTTTATGGTAGTTTGAAGTCTGTCGAGGGCATCGATGTCTTTGTCTGAAGTTTTTATTAGACAGTCTTACCGCCATAATCTTCCTGGTGTGAGGATGCTTGGTTAGCCGATCTTGCAGGTGTAAAGGTTATGGTTTAAAGACGCCGAGGAATTTATTCCTGGGATTAAGTAAACTTAAAAATTCTGGGAAAAGCTTCTTTGAAGTTTTCATGACAGCGAAAATCTGAGTCATGGCCATCTTGATTGTGATGTCTTGCTGTCACGTAGGCGTTTACGAGTATTTGGAGACATGCATTGTCTCTGACTTTGGGGTTCTTCACGAGAGCAACTTTATCATGACGCCATAGACCGCAATCTCTTCTTGAGTTCTCTCTGCAGACGAATTTTCTATTTTTACGCAGATCATGCCAAGTTGTTCCATCCATAATATAAAGAAACATCTGTCGGTCCCTTCGTGAATTTTGATGAGAAACCTCATGGAAAACACCCACTTTCAAGACCAAGAATGAGGTGGAGGTAATATTAAATGGGATCTCTAAAATAGGTTGTAACGATGCGAAATGGATTTAACTGGTTGAGGATGTTACGGTGATGAGGTATATTTTGTTACCAGTGAGTTATTTTGTCCTCCAAATAAAATTGTGTTCTGTATTCCGAAAAGGAAAGTAATATAACGTACACGAGTGCTCGGACTCTTGAGAATCGTATCAAATATCTTAATTACAGTGAACGATAAAGACATAGGGAAATTTTACACTTTCGTCTTTGTTGATAAGCGTATTCTAGCAGTGCTGCCAATAATGGAAAGGGTATTTATGGCTCTTGGGTTGTTGGTGCTGGTCTTTTAGTTTCTTACTTGATATCAGCGTTATCGGTGGCATATCTAAATGGCTGTGGGGCTTCATCGTTGGGTTTATGTTTCTTAAGTTGAAATATTTGGGTGGGCTGCAGAAGATATAATTCGTTTTAAAATTTAATATTTTCTTTGGGTACCTTAAAAGGCAAATGTTTGAGGAGAGGAGCGAACTGCGCCGCTCGTTTCTTCCTTTCGCTCCGAAGGTCGGCGTTTAATTGTAACGCAGGTTTTCTGGTTATAATCTTGTGTTGTTCGTTGTTCATGAATAACAGTTATTTTGAGATGTGATTGTAGTAACTGTTGAATTTTAATTAGCTAAGCAAATTGCACTCGTTGAATTTTGTCCTGCATTTTAAATTAACTGGTTCGTATAGTAACAAAATGGTAAATTATTTACAGAATAATATTACCGTCTCCAGTTATGAATGGTCCTCGTTAAGACCACTGGAAAATCTTCCTGTTACGGAACTAAAATTGTAAATTGTTAAAAAAAGACCTGCTTACGCCATTTGCCTGGTGGCGGCTGCTTTCCCTGTGATCTCTTGGTGATGGACTGTCCATTTTGGTGTGCACTAGTGTCAGGGATAGATGCAAGGTATTTATATTTATAATTTATTGTTTTGTATATTTAAATATTTGTTATATTTTTAAATAATGTAAAGAAATAAATTTTGTTCCGATCGCATTTGTACTGAATAAATATTTAGAAACTAATTTGTTTATTACTTAAATGGCTTACCAGGTAAAGTATTACCCTATAATTACTAATATGCTCTCTTTACTTTAGGTTGCTGTCACGTCGCCTATTTTTACTGTCACACAGGGAACGTGAGCCGTTGGGTATAAAATGAAATGGCAATAAACATGTCTCCATTTAGATGCGTCCTAGCATAGTGACATCTATGGGAGCCCAGGCACTGTTCAAGAATTTATTAATTTTTGTATATTATAATTTTTAATATTATCAAATGATGTGGTATAGTGGTTAACACTTGCACTTTGCATTCCACATGTAACTAATTTAAACTTCCGTCAAGATATTTTTTGTTCTCGATCCTTGGATCCACCATGCATTTTGAATTCAGTCGTGAATCATCATTTGAAATTTGTAAACTGTAAGAACCAACATTATTTAAAATTACTGTAGTGAACTGAGCTTTAGATCTGATGTTAAGTTTGTACTTTATTTTCTTTTTCTTTTTTTTATTGGGGATATCAACCTGCTGGTATTTATTTCTTCCTATCTTACGTCACACTTTTATGCATCTCGATAAGACCAGCTTTTGACACAACTTGTAATCCTGAAAAAATAATATCATACATACGACGGTGTATATGTCTGTGGTCTTATATGCATACGTGTGACCCTAGGGACAAATACTGTTTCTTTATAGAACGAATATCGTCATTACATTCAACTCTTAACTTTGTCTTGTAAGTCACGTCTCATTCAGTTACTATGTAAATAATGGAATGATTCATTTGCTACTAAAACCATTGTCACCATTCGTTGCAATATGGAATGCTAACCTAACCTAACTTATTGACGTGTTTCTCGAAAAGTGTTCATCGTATCAAAGCGTGCATATAATGTTAACGGTTGTTTTATCATGTTCTTTTATCCGAAACATTTTCCGATCCGGTGAATATGCTTTACTATACTGGAAGCGATGATACGGTCCGGTTATGTATGAAAGCGATTGGTTCCTCTGGTGAGATATTTCTGATCTCTTCCCGTCCCCCCCCCCCCCCGAGATCCCGTTAAAATGTTGCAGGAATACACAAAAAAAATATATCTCACTGTTGTCGGTAAAGACAAATATTTATAACCTCACATTTCAGTAACGACCTTTTGTTTCTAGAAATAAAGCTCTCTGTGTACTGATCTATAATTATTTTACAGAGTAACATACTTTGCAAAGGAATTGACAATGGTTACATACGCTGTAGAATTGTTGTAAATTCTTATAGTCGAATATTTAAATTAATGATTAATCAACTTACTGATTTACCCTCGTAATCGTAACTAAATCCCAACTGAACTTTGTAATGGTGAACTGCTGTGTTTTCTTTGCGGTACGGACCGGATTCTTAAATGATATATACAGTTTCGTGCTCCAGAAAGTTAAACTATTTTCGTACGCTATTAAGATATCACCCATTCCCTTATATTTGTCTTTATTCTGACGTAAGTGTATTAATTTCAAACTCTCGCCATATTTTCGGACATTCGCTAACCTTCCGATAAAAAGAAAGGGATTTTCAGAGACAACAAAGAAGAAAGGAAGTTGGCTTGTGAAACCAACAAATTATCTTGTCAGTTCATATCAAAAGTGCTAATTACGTCAGCACCGCAAATCGAGAAATTTGTTCGATATTATTGCCGAACATGTATGACAGCCGAGGTATAATTATAACTAGTGTAGTGGCAAAGCGATAACGCGTTACGATACATTTGTAATGGCGGATTGAGTAGTTGTGTCGTGGTTTACGTCAAGTAATTAAGCTATCTCGCGAGAATTAAGTGTTCTGGGAGATATTATTAAGTTAAGAAGACATCCTGGAAGCTTTTGCAACATCCACGCGAGTTGTAAGTATTCTGAGACATATTGCGTGTTTGTCAAATGTTATTACTTGTTTGTGAGATACTTGTGACCGACCCTGGGTTCGATACTCTATTGCATTATCTTGTGGTCAGAGAAGCATGTCTCCTCAGACGAATAAACAAGATGCAAGATGTCTATCACAACGCCGTTAGTTACAACTTCCGTACATCAGAGGTCATTCCTGTTGTGAATTTTAAAGCCAGTACCACTGAAGAGATTTTTTTACAGTCGACTGAGAATTAGTTGTTGCGTAAAATTGTTGGATAATATTTTATGGAATCCTTTCTTTTCACACTAGTAATTGGTTACAAAACGTCTTAAATCATACACCGCAAAATTAAACATAATTCATGTGTACAGAAAACAGCAGTAATTCTTCCTCCAGGTTTGGAAATCGTGTAAATCTTTCTGATGATGAATGATTTACCATAACCGTTGCAAGGATTCGTTGACTAGTGGAAGACGTGCTTTTTTGCCTCCATCATCAGGGCGATATACATTTTATTACGCAGATTTACAAATCACCAGTGTATTCGCGAGTTCCTTCGTTTTGAAAGATTTATTTTGAAGCCATTGGTAGAAAAGGTTCATATCGTCACAAATATTTCTCAGAGTGGGACTTTAATCCATTTGAATTTGACATTGGAAGTATGTTATTGTTTGTTTATCAATTTTGTATAGCGTCGAATGAAAACGGTGAATGGGGAAGGATGTGAAAGGAAGAAGTCTAATAGGATTGAGAACTCTCAATAACATAGCGTCTGTAGGAAATTCAATGATCTCAGTTTCTAGGTCTAAGTGCACTCATGTGGCTTTTCAGTAGAACTACGATGACCATGCTGGTTGTTATAACTTACCTTGCACTTCTTGTGGTAACATTGTTTCTTTCTTATATTTTAACATGTTTTGCGTTTCTAAAAAAAAACCCAGGAATTTGTTATGGTCATGCTGGATCTATTAAATATACACAAAACACAAATTATGTGAAATGTTTGACAGCAGATGACGTCATGTCGGTACGTACTAGAGATTTTGTTTTGTTTAATTCTGTTTGTCTCCAGTAGAATGCATCCCAATCGTATTTCCGTTTTTAACTGTTCAGAATGAAAGTAAATAATTCTCGCTTGAAGGACAATGCAACTTGCAAGAAACATCCACGTCAACTTTTTTTATTTTTTTTTTATTTAACCTGATCTGGCAGAATTTCTCTATCGTTAAGTGTGGAAGTTCATGCAATGGCCTGCAAATTGTAATTGCTCCTTAGGTCACATTTAATTGTTTCCTACACAGCAAAATTCAAGGTTTCTTACCATCCGGGGTCCATTCTTTCGCGGTTCATGTCCAATTTTTGGCAGGCATCTTGTCATTTCTTTAGGATTAATTTAAATACGTATTTTTCTCACAAGGTTATTTCTATGAACCTAACCTAACCTATTACCGTCGGACAATGCTTCACGTCTAAGGGTTGAGTTATAAACTAGGCTACTACTTGTTTCTCAACTGGGGGTCCGAGAGTTCAGTAGACTGTACTCTTTTTACGTCATATTGCTGTATATTTTAGGCTTTCTTTCGTTATATTTTTTTTTTAAAATTTTGTGTTGTAGTAAAGAAAAATGTCAGAGAACCGAAATGCTAAATCTTAATCGAAAAGTAACCGGTTCGAACGCCGACAGTGGTGACTGATGTACTTCTCGGTTTTCCTCAGTCCAATTTCAAGAAACTATATGTTCGTACAAAAATTTAGTACCCACATGGCGTAAAAACATTGATGTGTACTAGGAGATTAATGAAAAATTGGGAAGATGATTTTGAGGCCAGTAGGTACATTATAATTACGTGGGTGTAAAGCAGCGAGACATTTTTTCTGAAGTGTTCTGAAGGTTAATTGGTTCCGTGGAAGTTATAAATGAGTGTAAACGTGACGGTAAAAAAATAATCTTTGCAGGATCCTTTAATAGCTTGTTCATCCTATTCATTTTAAATTTACGTTCTCAAAAATTTTAAAATGTTCTTCAGTTAATAATTCGACAACCTGTAAACCTGTAATTTACACGTGGATAGAACTTAAATCTCAAAACATCTACATGAATCTATCTATGGTAATGTTGTCAGTTAGCTAGTTAAACGTTCGGATAAGAAACGACAATTGATATTTAAATTAAGTGACACTTTAAATCGCATTGTAACTGCACGCAACACCTGGTTTAGTATCCAAAGGTTGTATTCTGACCACACACAGTGTATTTATACGTTTCGTATGGCTCTTAGTATGAACAGCGTTAACCAGTTGATCTTTGTAATGGTGAAGCGTTGTGTTTTCTTTGCGGTTCGGACTGAATTCGTAAATTTTATTTAGACGAGCTTAGGCTTCAAAGGGTTAACCAGTTGATCTTCGTAATGGTGAAGTCCTGTGTTTTCTTCGCGGTACGGACTGAATTCTTAAATGTTATTTAGACGAGCGTAGGCTTCAAAGGGTTAACCAGTTGATCTTCGTAATGGTGAAGCGTTGTGTTTTCTTTGCGGTACGGACCGAATTATTAAATAATATTTAGTCGAGCTTCAGGGATTAAATCAGTCCACTTATTTGAACGACGATCCTGTAAATGTAACAGCTTGGACACCGTCTGTGCTTCAGATTTCGTGAGAAATGTTGCACGACGCATTTTCTGTATGTCGAAGAGCAGCAATATGACAAAGGCGCGAAATGTTGATTTTGCGTCTGTCAAAGTAAGCAGGAGTCGGAGGAAAGTAATTAGTTATGCTTTAATGCACGAACCAATGAAAGAGGAAAGAGGAATGAGGAACAGGTAAGTGCATTGTCGTGCCCGTGGTTCAAGAACCGAGGCGCCCTTGAGATCGTCCCATAAAGATAAGCGAACATCATACCCGGTGCTGATGAAAGTCGGTCACAGTCAGCGAGATTTCTCGCCTGTAATTTGAAGCGTGAGGAGTAACATTTAATTTTATGACGTTCAAAATTCTATACTTAAATCCCCCATTTGTATTTATTTGACGCTTATGATTTATATTCGTTTTGTTGAGACCTAGGCGTAGATGGGGGGGGATAATATTAAAATATAAATGTGAGTAAAATGTATTCAAAATTTAGGATTTGAGGTTTTCACAGCGGTGAGTCTGAAGATGGCTGTCTTATGGGTTGTTGTAGTCTGGTAGAAGTTTACGGACGTTTCAGAGGTCCTTGCTACCACTGCCAGCCCAATTAACTTCGCACAACCGTCATAACCTTAAGCAATATCTGTTTTAGGATCGTTATTTCATCTATGATTTCATCTTCCAATTTTCTTTCCACGTCGGGAATTTCTTTTTCCTCGCGGTGGATGTAGCGGCGAGATGTGGCAATAAACCTATTATAATTAAGCCTTATCAGTCTCAAGGTTTTCGCCCAAACAGGTGACCTTCCAGGTTCTGCAGCATGGGTTAATGTAAGGTCAAATGAAATAGGCCACGACCGCTTGCTCGCGCTCGGCCTTGTGACGTACACACGCGTACAATCGCTTCATCTTTATTCGCTCATTCACCTTCGTATTATTTATTTGGTGTCTAATCCTTTTCATTTCCAGCATCTGTGTTATTTATTCTATTTATGTTTTGCTTCGTCACCTGCATTTGTATCTCATGACCGTCGTTGCTTCGTTACAGTAGTAAAATATGACCTTGAACTTTGTCAATGTTAAGATTCCTTCGTCTCGAAATAAAAATATGAATCGTGAAAATATAGCTTAAAATTAATATAAAATAAAATTAATATTCTAATAGATAATGTAGCAACCCTGAAGATGGTAGCAGTATCTTACTCTGAAACACTGGTACCGACCTGCAAGTCTACACTGTCTCAGAATCAAGTACAAGACGTCAAAAGTTATAAATTATAAGAATTTATACGTTCTTGATGGTTTTTTGGCCATATAAATAAAAATCGGTAATTATGTATTCTGAAATGGCTGGGCGAAACCTAACCTATTCTAAAATAACCTAACCTATTCTAAAATAACCTAACCTAACCTAACCTAACACGCAAGGTTTTCAGACGGAGGCACAAGTCATAAAATGTCGTTTTACTCGGTTCTTGATACAGTGCAAATGGCGTTCTTTACTGATTTCATTAGGGTATGAAAGGTTTTTGATCGAGACGTTCTGTCGTGGCATATTTTATAAACTACTATCCCGACTTGTATGGAGTGGTAAGACATGTTACCGAATTCCGATTGCAATATTTTCAATATTAAATTTAATCAAAATCCGCTCATGCGTAGCAGCATGGACTAGGCGAAACTAATAGCACCTAAATTCATTGGTACCATACGAAATCAAGTATTAATGTGTAATACCTCCTTTGTGATGGCCACGGTGGTCTAGCGGTTAGAATGCTGGCCTTGTAATCCTGGGGTGTCGGGTTCGATTCTCGGCGGTGCCAGAATTTATAGGCAACACGGGGTTTTCCTCCGGGGGCTTCCCCGGTTACTCCGTGGCATCCGAGCAATTACTCCATTCACACACAGAAGTAGGCAATGGCAAACCACTTCTGGATCATCTGCCAAGAACGTATATGAACAGGTCCCAGTCCGAGAAAAGGATGGAAGGATCCTGTTCATATGGACCTGTCGT